TTAATTGGCATGCCGGCAAGGTCTGCGACAAACTTTTTCATTCACGCCGTGCCTCATCATCGGGATCGTCTCGCGTCGATCGTGATTCATTAGATACACGCACCAACGTTCCATTTACGCAATCCCTCGGGTTTCCCACCATATTTCCTCCTACTTTAAGGCTCGAGATCGGTCTCGGTCTCGTCGTGTCGTCTGTTTTAAATTGGAAATTTAATCAGTTGTATAGAAGAATCCGTGAAACATCGTGAGTCAAGGAGGTTCTTGGAATTCACCTTGGAATTTCTAAGTATTTACACCGTTTCTAATCGCGATTAATAATAATCTCATGGAACTAGAGCCAGACGTTTTTCTTGAGAACTGACCAGCCGAAGTAATGACATTCGAGCTCTTCCATCCTACGAATCCTAATTTTTACTGAATAGAATTTCTATCCTATGATTTAAAGTGCTTTCAAATTTCAAAGATTGAAAAGTCGTGAGAAAATTGCGGGAATTGCGAGGCGACGTTTAGAGTTTGGTAGTCGAATCAGCCCGAGCTTTCGAGAGGCTCGTCGAACTGTCGAGAACGAAAGAACCGAACTTCGCTCGTGAAATTTCTCAGTTGCGCGTTTCACTTCTGCAGAGAAGCAGAGACACACGCGGTTGATCCCGTGTCTGACTCGTACGAGCATCCGACCCCATACTTTCTCCGCGATCCTGAATTTTACCTGAGTTTCGGACGCGTGTCGACGCATCGGCACTCGGTTGGGCAAACAATCTGACGAAACTTTTGAAAATCATTGTATCACGCGCTTTCGTCGGATTACACGACGAGCATTTTCGAAATCGCTGGATACTCGCCACGCGACAAAATTTTCCAAATAACGTGTCGTTCGTGGACAGGTGGCACACACGCGGGAACAAAACGTAACACACGTTTCCGTCGGCACGTAACGCATCTGTTGCATATGTAAACGTATTCGGATATGCACTGTTAACGACAATGGTAAAGAACGATGACGACGACGACGATAACTCTGACTCATTCGAACGGAACTCGCGAGCACGCCGGATCTAGATATCAGATCAGATCCAGAATCCGCTAGTCGCACGCTCGTTCGATCCTTATCGATCGTGTTCGCGTCATTCTAACCAAGGGGGTGAAGAATGACCCGACCTTGCTGCGTTCCCCATTACGCATTTCCAATGGCTAATTCATCGCCATATTGTGTACTCTCTTCGTCTCATTGGAGATCGCGAATCATTATTCGTAAAGATGAAAAAAAAAAAAAAAAAAAA